TAATTCCTGATGTATCATTTTGGGAGCCTGGGAAGCTGTTGGAAGCTTGTGCTTACAAAAGCAGCACAGCATCACAAGGCAGAGGGATGGATGGATGCTACCTGACCTTAAAGATGAACACACACACAACTGTGCTCTTTTATTAACAGCTTTTGTCAGGAATCACTGCAATTCTGTGAAATTTAAGATCTTTGGGGGATGGAAGTTTGGTTACGTTTTAAATCCAGCATCAGATTTTTGTTGTTCACTATGATTTCATCTTTCCGAATGAGGTTGTTTTTCTTTCTTAATATTGGCCGAATCCTTCTCTGTGTCTAAATTCCTGCTCAGGTTTTTGGGAGCTGTGGAATACTAGGTGAAGTGTGGTGAGGAAAGTGGGATTTGACACACAGGTCTCTGTACCCACACCAGTTTGCTGTGCTTTCTCTGCAAGTTTGGTGAATTACAGCCATTATTTTGGGGAAGCTGTAATTAAAAGTCTCTGCCAAATGCTGTCACTTCAGCGACCCAAAACGTTCTGAAACGAGGTCAATCCCTGTCTCAACGGTCAAGAAAATTGCCAAGTTTAAGAAAGCAAAGTCACTGCCCTCGTCTGTCCCCCCCTTGCCATATGGGAGCATTCAAACTGTATCAGCATTCCTCAGGCAGCTCTGGTGAGCCAGGCTGAATTATTCCTTTGTCCGGGGAACAAGGCACCGACACAAACTGAAAATACCGAAAATCTCTTTGTTGTGTGTGTAAAACTTGAGTTTTCTGATGCAGATCTCTTGCATGACTTTAGGAGTGCCAGGAATCTGTTACCTCTGTGCTGGTTTTCTGTTTCCATGGGTGCAAGAACTGAATTTGTTCTTTTCTTTCTTATTTTTTTCCTATGTAGAAAGCAGGCATTGAGGATTTAACCTGTATATTAACCATTCCTGTATCATTCCAATAAAGTTGTTTTAGAACACTTTCTCACACCATGACTTGTGTGCATGTTTTGTTTACAGTTTCAAGTTTGAAGCTGAAATAAATGAAATTTTCAGATAAAAATACTGCTTTTTTTAAAAGTTCAGGATTTATAGAAGGCAAACATCAGGGATCTGCTGCTGCGGGTGAAGTCTGCTGAGTTGGATCTCTCACCTGTTGCAGCTAATGGGATTTAATTACTAAATGGGATTTAATTTAGGATACACCTACCCAAAATAGTGTGTCAAGGTTTGGGTTATTTCCCTCATTATCCCGCTTTCCCACACATTCCCCAGGGCAGGGACAGGTCGGAAGTGGCTGGGACACAGCAGCTGCTCCCACACTCAGAGCTCACCCTCCCTCCCCTGCTTGTTTACAAACTGTAATTAATTGGCTTTATGCTGCTCACAGCAGGGAGCCGTGCTATTTTGTATTTGTGTTGCCACAGGGCAGTGCAGGATAAATTTTAAACTAAAAAAACTTCACTTACACCTTCCTTGTTTGCCTGGCAGATCAGCAGGCACCTCCTTCCTGCTTCACGCGCTGACGTTCTGCACCACCTGGAAGATCTGTAGAGTTACAGAAATGACATTCTCTGCTTCTAACCTGCCCAAATTCCAGACTTCACATCCTCTGGAGGAAACCAATAACGTGATTTTTTAAAGAGTGGTTAGTAATTTTTACAGCATCAGCTTCTGTGTGAGCAGCTAAATCACATCCAAGCACCATCAGGCACAGGATGCCTTTGCAAGAGGATTATTGCTTGTCCCTCACACTTGTCCTGTGGAGTCTTAAAACTGCTCCATAAGATGGGAAAAGGGGCATGAATGCCATTTCATGTAATGAATCCCATTTACTTCCCCTTGTGTATCCACTCCACTTGTGCAACTCAGAAAAATTGATGCTTTCCGTGTTTTTTTTTTAATTAAAAAAGTCTTAAAAACCCAGTTGTTACTCATTAATGTAAAGCTCAATGAAAATAATTTCCCAAAATCTTCAAAAAATTAAGCTACACACGTGCATGCAATGTGTGACAACTTTCCCTACACCAGATTGCTCAGATTCTCATCCCATGGCACAAATAAATTATTCCTAAATCGTTACCTTTGATTGAGTTCCCTGCAGAAATATTCTCTGATTTATCCATATTTTGTGATCTTGGCAGAATGTTTTAGATTGAAAGGTTCATTATGACAGTTTTGCAGTGAATTATTAAAAATTTTGGACTGTATTGATAAACTTGTGGAAATGCAAAAGGATTTTACAAGTTGAGGTGATGAAGTAGAAATTGCTGGATTACTACAGTAAGCACCGTAGTGAGTAAAGAGTATGCAAAATACATATATTTAGTGGAAAATACATATTTTTAGTACAAAATATATGCGTTGTATTCATGAAGTATTAGACTTGGCCCTGTATATCTTGTAACATGAATATACAGTAGTTCATTATGTATATATATTTATAAATATTCATATACATGCACATTATAGCAATATGTAACTCTTATAATTCCTTATAGCAATTCTTTCTCTCACAGGTTGGTTTATTTAAGATATCATCGGGAACTTGACCATTTCTTCACTTTAATTTGCTCAGTATTTCAAAATCCTTAATAAAAAGAAACCAGCACATCATTAATCCCATGTCAGCAGCACTGTAATTTCCATGGGGCTTCAGTTCTTTCCTGAACCCTTCCGCAGCACGCACAGGAGGTTATTTTGTGTTTACACGAAGCGAAGCGGATCGCACACACATTTTATAACCAGGACTATAACCATTTTATGCCCAAGTCCTCCCCGCCCGCTGTGAGGGGCCGCAATGGCGCCCGGGCCCCGCAGCGCCGCCGCCACGCGCCGTTGCTGCGGCAACCAGCGGCCACTCAACGGCCGGGGCGGGCATATCCCGCCTTTCTATTGGACCATAGAGCTGTCAATCACCGCTAAACCACGCCCTTCCTCTACTTAAGCCGCGCCGACTGAGGGTGTGGCGTGTGAGGGGCTCCTTGGCTGAGGGGAGATACTCGATTTAAGTTCCCTTTGGAATCGAAAATAAAGGATCCGCAACAGCTGTGCTTAGGAAAAAAATCCCCAACATAAAACTTTTCAAACAAGTCAATATCTATGTCATTTTTATATGCATGTGAAATACACAGGCTGTGCTGAAAGAAGGGACTTCGTTTAAATGCAGCCATAGTTCATATAATATCATGTACTGTGCTAGTATTTATTTTTCCATATACGAATCATAAGAGTGATTTCTGTTCTTTTCCAGTATATATTCAGCTCTAAATTCTGACATCCTTCTTTTGCTGTTTATCCTAACTGCAATCTGTACTCAGCTTCTGAATTAACTTTGGTTCTATCTCGTTCTGACTTTATTTTTGTAAATAAAAGGGAATTTCTTCTTGGTAATATCTTATTGAGGGAATACATTGATTTCCTTGGATATTGATGCATTTAATACCCGAATCCCAGACTTTGGGTTTGGGTTGGAAAGGATGTTAAAGCTCATCTCATTCCACCCCCACCATGGGCAGGGACACCTTTCATAGATCAGGTTGCTGGGTATGAAATAGAAGTTGATTTGCTTTTAATCACTCCATACAAATTACCTGACTTGATTTCTTCCCCTCTCTCTGTTACTTTTGTGTTTTGTTGAAACAGCTGCACAAAAATTCCAGCTGCAGCTGGCACTAATTGCAAGCTTGGCAGGGTTTAAAACTACTTGGAATTTGATCTGCTCTGGTTCCTGCCTGCCAAGACTGTGGGCAGTGACTGCTGGAGTCCCAGCCACACCTTCTGTGCAGAAATTGCTCATATAAGGTGATTAAAAATCAGGTGATTTGAACAGCCTTTAAATATTAAATGAGTTTTATAAAAATCTGGTGGGAGTAAAAATAGCTTTTATTTTGCCTTCATAAAAACTGAAGTTTTTAATGAAGTACAGGAGGGAAGGGAGGTTATTTTGCAGACATCACTGAACCAATATGGCCAGAATTACTCCAAAACTAATTTCTAAGACACAACAGGATTTCCCACTGACAGGGGACAGGGTTAGATGGGATATTAGGAAGAAATTCTTCCCTGTGAGGTGGGGAGGTCCTGGCACAGGTTGCCCAGAGAAGCTGTGGCTGCCCCTGGATCCCTGGAAGTGTCCAAGGCCAGGTTGGATGGGGCTTGGAGCAGCCTGGGACAGTGGAAGGTGTTCCTGCCCAGGGCAGGGGGTGGCACTGGATGATAATTTGTGTCTTCCCCCTGTCATTAAACAGTGTCTTTTTAGAATCTTTTGTCTTGTACTTAGATGAGATTCAGCTTCTGCTGAATTGGGTTTTTTTTTATCTTCTGAGAAAAAGGAAATTCAGAAAAGGCGTCAACAGAAAACTCTTCAGGCTGGATTCTGTGCTGAGGGGAGGAGTGGCTCTGTGCATGAGCTTGGCTTCAGCTTGAAGAGGACACCTAAAACCACCATGGGGGCACCTGGGATGTGCCAGAGGTAATTTTTGAACCCTTAAAGACAAGTTTGATCAATGAGCAACACGAGCTGTCCACTGGCTGCTGCTTTCAAATTGACACATTGTCCTGTTCGTGTGTCATAGACACAGGGCATTTCATCGAAATCCGGGTGGAAGGAAGTTGCCAACTTCTTTCCCATCAGTGGCCCATCACAAGACTCTAAATTTAGCTGCCTGTTTCCAAAGGGGAAGTGGTGTAAGTCCACAAGTCAGCTGAACAGCACCGAGCTCCTGCCAGTGGAAGTGTTGGTGGAATTCGGTTCCGATTTCACTCTGCCCAGCGCAGCCTGACCCTGTGCTCCTTCCCCGTGCCCTGTTCTGGCTGTCAGCAACTCCTCAGCATCACACTGTGGTCAGAAACATCTCAATTCATTTTCAAACATCCTCTTTTAGATGTAGCCCTCTCTTTGTGTTCAAAAGCCGCGCCCTCTCTCAGCAGGATCACTTCTGTTTTATGAATTAAAAACCCTGGGGAACTGCATCATGAGTGCGTCAGGCTTTTTCTGCACAGACAGCAGTGAGGAAAGGGTGTGTAACCATCTGCCCCCTCCCAGCTGCTATAGCAGGAGAGCTCTGGGCTTGGGCAAATCTGCCTCAGACCTGACTGGGTTTGGTAAGTTGGGCTTTTTGTGCCTTTTTGTTTTCCTTATGCTTTGTTCCAGAACACAGGAACCACTTATTTTGTTTGGAGGAGACCACTTTTTCCAAGATTACCATATTTTAGCTCTTCATGAGCACTTTCAAAGCAATAAACCATAATTTTTCAGCAGGTAAGGAGCTGGATACCCTGAGGTCCTACAGAGCAGAGTAAGGACCTGGTTACCCATGTCCTAGCAGGCACAGAGCATTCTAAATTCCATGGATCTTTAGCAAGATTTAGACTGCCAATTCTTCTTTCTTTAGAAATTGATTTATCAAGTCCCTTGAGTGCTTAAGAAAGTGTTTCCCTGCTTTTTTGCATATGCAAATGACTCTGTAGATAACCAGGTTTGCTGCCTTTCCTACCTGCTTTGGCCTCGAAATTCCAGCGTTCCTTTCAGCTTCGGGGAGGGAACTGAGTCACAAACATAAAGAACCCCACAAAAATAAAAAACCAAACAGCTGTGCTGTGCCAGTGTGTAAATTTTGGGGGAAAGGTCAAAACTTCCATCTCTCAAATAACTGAAGATTTGGAATATATCCTGGAAGGAGCACTGGGATTGCAAAGTGACCCAGTGTAGCAAGTTTCAAATATACCAGGGTGTAGGGGCATGGTGAAAAGCGTTGAGCCACAAGCACACTTCGGTTGTGTGGATACTTCATTTATGCAGAGATTTAAAGGATATTTGAAGAACTGAATGATTTTCTTCATGTTTCCCATTCCTCCATAAGACCAATGGTTCAGGTCAGACTCTTAATGTGAAGATTCCCATTGATTTTAACAGTAGGTAAATTGGAAAGGGATGATAAGGAATTCTTAAGTGTATAAACTTACTTTGAGACACTTATCTCTTCACTGTTATCACTATTGGGGAAGGCAAATTAAGTATTTATATCTTTTAAGTTCATCTTTAAGAGGGACTGTAAACACATTTGATCTGCATTTTGAATACAGTTTCATTGTATTTGCAGAACTCTCAGTTTCTTTTGAAGCTTCTTGGCACCTCACAGGAGTGCTCAAGTCAGAAATACCTCTAAATATGAATATAGTCTTTTATTTCCTTTCTATGTCACCTCTTTAGTTCTTGGAAATGGTCATCTTGTAATGAAAAACATTGATTAATTACTGATGGTATTGATACAGACAAGTAAAATGATTTTTCTGATTTTTGCAGCTTATGAAGTACAATCTGTCTCAAGTAGCCACGATGCAGAAGAGACCTGGGAGCAGAAGGGATGGTACAGATGAAGCAGCTGATTAAAACTATTCCTGTATCTTCAGTCTGATTTTTGTGGACATGGTAAAAAGGAAAAGCATGCAGTTTAATTTTTGCTAAAAATAAATGCTTGAGAGAGAAAGAAAAATCACTGACTTTATGAGAAGTGCACTGTTCATTATTAATAATAACAACAACAATAATATAATTATTCTATAATAGTTGTTGAATAATAGTTGTTGTTAATTGTGCCTGTCTTTCCATCCCAGGGCTCCACAGAACTCTGGTGATCCCTGTTGCTCACACTTGTCACCATGCTGGCAGAAGGCATCCTAACGAGGCTCATCTATAAAGAAAACTGTCATCAAGATAAGCCTTGCAAATCTCCTGCATCCCAAAAGGCTAAAGAGGGAATCTGGAGACAGAAACTTGTAGACATCCCAAAAATTAAAGGCTTTGCTGATAGATGTGAGAAGCGGGAGGAGCTCTCTGCCAGAAGCAGCCAAGTGGAAGCCGGGAGCAGCCCCCGATGGAGATCCATGGAAAAGGAGCCTGCAAAAGATCAGGAAATGCTGGTTAAAGGAACTGCATCCCCAGCTTTACATATCCCCAAGAGAGGAGGAAGCCTAGACCAGGTGGATTTGTACAGATCCTGGCCTTGCAACAGCATTTACCAGAACTATCCTGACCTGCAGATCGGGGGGAACCACGTGGGGGGCCACACGTGTGACTCGGGCTGTGTCCTGGACCATGTGTGTGATGAACTCCCTGACGGCCCCGTCCTGCTCTCCATAGATATTCCCCAGGGTCAGTCCCCTCTGTGTGAGCATCCTGAAAATCCCAGTGGGATGTCCCTGCCTGGAGAGGAAGCTGGAGAAAGGAGCCTCATGCTCAGTGAGGAGCCCCTTTCCAACTCCACGCTCAACAAGTACATGGAAGCCAAAGTGGCAGAGCTCTACAAACAGTTTTTTGAAGAAAGCCTGGCCAGGTGTGGTTCCATAACAAACCTCCTCACCTGCAGCTGGATAAGGAACAGCCTGGACCAGATAAGTGTTCAGATCTCCCAGGAGCAGAACATAGAAACCTCCAAAGCCAGAGGAGCCCTCTTGCATTCGTTGGCTTTGTTCAGCTCCCACAACGCTTCCAACAGGAACAGCTCCGAGTTCAGCACCCCAAACCTCCAAATCTCCAACCCAGTGGGTGCAAAACAGAGCTGCAGGATGGAATTCACATCCTGACGGAGCTGCTCAGCTCAGGAGAGGGATGGGATTCGGGTATGAATGTTTCGCTCTAAGGATTGGGTTGGGAAATGGAAACATTTGCACACTACACTTGTTCTAATTAATATCTTAAGTCTTAAACCCCTTTGGTAGCAGGGGAAGTAAAGGTCACTGCTTTCTATTTTCTAATGGAGAATTTGAAGTTAATTTCTCTCAAAAAACTGGTCAATCATGTTTTTATAATATATATAGAATCACAGAACTGTTAAAGCAGGAGATGACCACTAAGACCATCAAGTCCAACCATCAACCCAGCACCAGCAAATCATGTCCTTGAGTGCCACGTCCACACATAAAAGCATTAATTTTCTGCAAAATCAGCAGAGATGACTGCAGCATTCCTGAAAAAATAATGCAAGATTCCTGGATCTTCATTAGGAAATTTAAACACAGATTTTTGAATGGAAATTCTGTTGTTTAGCTCTCAAATACATTTTCTCCCCTTGCTCTTGCTTCTCAGAAAATATTTCAGCTGGAAATTATTCTTTATGTCACTGCTGTAAAATGAGAGATGAATTGGAGTGTTACCTGCTCTGCAGAAATTTTTTTCTAATAAAGTTTTTAATTGGGTGTTTTTGCTTTTGGTTGGGTTTTTTTGTTTGTTTGTTTTAATCTTTATTTCTTGGTCATTTCTTAAAATCATCTCTGAACTCAAAGAAAATATCAGCAGGATTGAGAAGAAGCTGCTCCTGAGGGAAAAGTGATCCGAGTGGGCAATGCAAGGGCTTCTCTCTCCTGATTAAAATGACAGGGAAAGATAATTCCTGATAAGGAAATAAATTTATAAAATCACACTCATACACATCCAAGACCTAACTGGTCATTGCCTGATCCAGAATTCCCACTAACCTTGGTGCAAGGAATACAAGCAATACTGAATCTCATCCTTGTTTTCTAGGTGCATGAGAGGAAAAGGATGATTTGTTTCCCTATGCATTGCCCTAATTCCACATGTGTCTCATTAATCTCCTTCTCAGCATCCAAAATCAAGCCAGGAATCCTTTGGAAGAGGCCAAATGACTTCATTAAATTCCAGAGGAGTCCAGGGTGGCCAGAGCTCCCCAGATTTCCTCGGTGGAGGTGCAATTTAACCAAGGGTGAGAGGGGAAATATTCCAGAGGGCAGCAGTAGCCGAAGGGTTTGCAATTATCTGTAGCAAGAAGTGCTCTGTGCCATTTGTGCTGCTGTACCCCAGCCCTTGCTTCCCCCTGGGATCTATTTATAGTTCAAGCCAAAGTCTGGAAAGAAGTTAATTGCACGAGGTTCTTCCTCAGGAAATGAGGAAGTCGGAGGTTAAACCTGAGCTCCAGACTCCGGTGGTTTTCTGTTCTTCCCAGCGCTCAGAAGTGCGTTGGAGGAGCCCCTCTCTGCTCTGCTGCTCACCTCAGCCCCCAGAGATTAAAGTCAATGGATCAGCAGCAGCTGCTACAGTGGGAGAATCCCTGATGGATCTGCTGCTCCATCCCCGGGACAGAAATGGAGTGGCAGAGGAGAAAACACATAAATAATAAGAGTTTGGCAAAACCTGACATTATTGGGAAGATGTGTTCATCCCTTCCCTTCTCAGGACTAGTTTCAGAGCTCATTTTAAAATTAACTTTGTTAAATATGTGGACAATTTTAGCTGGAATGAAAATAAACTCCCATAACAGCAGTGTTTTTGAGGAAAATAGGTAATTTGGACCACCCCAATGGCGTGTTTTCACAGCACAAATGGAGGTGCAGGTAAATGCACATTGTTAATGTAAAGCACACTGTATTTTGTTATGGATTTTATGTAGTTTTGCCCATAGAAAAATATTGTCCATGTGCTTTCTCTCCCAACATTTGTTAAACTAGTTTAATCCACAACTTAAGTAACTTCTCAAAATTAATTTCTCTCTGTAGGAAGAAAGATGTTGCTGCAGAACACATTTTAGGGGGCAAAATCTGTTAATTTCTAAAAAGATGAGACATTTATTACTAACTTAAATACTATTTTAATTCAATTTTATTTTAATTGATATGTTTCAATCCATGACCTGCTTTGGATTTATTTAGATTTGGAAGATGCTAAGTCCCGTCATGAGTTTGAGTAAAACTCCATCAGCTGCACTGGAGCTGTGCCCATTTTCATAGGAGGGAAAATGCCTCAGTGAACTCAAATTCCATGGGGAAAATCCCTGGAAAGGTGCTTTTCCAGCCTGCTGAAGGGCAGCAGCTGGATTTCATTACAAAGAAAAGCAGTGCCATATTTTACAGGGCAGACATCCACAGCCAGATTCTGCCTGGAGTTGATTTTTATCCACATGCCAGAAAATCTGATGTTAGAGGAGAAATGCTGGCAGGGAATTTTTACCTTCATATCCAGCTCTCAGTCCGTGTTCCCACAGAGGAATATTCACAAGGTCCTGGGAACCAGACCCTGTAGGAAGCTGAACTCTTTGGTTAAATTTCCCCAATTAATCCTGTAGTCAGGATGTTCCCCAGCCTGCCTCAGCTGTGGGAATTAAGCCCCTCTAGAAGATGACTTCATCTACCTGGAGGATAATTAGGGTTTTTGTACATTAACAATTTTTTTCTGAGTTTTATTAAATAGTCAAATGGTGATATCTAGTGGTGGTTTCCTTTAGTACTTTCCAGGTCAGGATTTTGAGAGCTTTACAACCATTTTGCAATGAAATCTCAAAGTCCATCTTTCTCTGGAGGGAGGATTATTTCCCATAAAAAGGATGCCCAGGTGTGCAGAACAACAACTTCCATCAATTAATGTTCTATTCCAGTTAAAATCAAGAAGGACTTAAAACCTGGAAGGCCAAACCCTTCTCTTTAGGACTAAAAATTCTGACTGACAATCAGAAAAATCTCAAGCACTAAATACCTGTAGTTTTCATTCATCTCTCTTTTAATCAGGAAAAAGCCATTTGCTTGTTAAACAAATGGAACTAAAGCTGAGTGGCTTATTTTTACATTTTTCAAAATGTAAAATATTAATCTACCTTTAATGGGCTGAAATCTACTTTTTAGCAGAGTGCTCTTTCTTGCACTCCACTGGTTTATACATGGCATGGCAAAATGGATTTTTTTCTCTCTGTTTTGCTCCTGTTTTACACACAGATTTCAAAAATTCAGATACTTGATTGTAATTAACCTAATTTTCTTTATCTTTACCAGAATATCCTCACCACTTAATCCTTGCCTGCTTTTCCTTCGAGTTCATTTATTTGTGATAATCCCATGAATGTGTTGGGAATATAAATCACTTGTGAGGGTCAGTGGTTGTTTGGTAAATGAGTGCCTAGGTGCTAAAGAACCTTCCACTCCCACATCCACCATCCTGGCTTCCTTCTGGGGGGGAAATAAAAGGGTTTAGTATGGAGCTGTGAATCCCAGGAGGTTGCAGACCTTTCCTTTTCCATTCTGTTCCATGTAGGAACAATTGTTCTGGATATTCTCCTTCACTTGTGGGCTGTGCTCTCGGGGAGGCAAAAAATCTGGAGGAGTATTTGATGCACTGGAGCAAAGTGGGGGGAGATTTATGTGTAGAGCTGAATTATTGAAACTTGCACAAGATGTGTTGGGAATCCTGTGTGGTCTATGCCCATCAAGGCTTTGTTTTCCTCAGGATGCTCGTTTGGGGCTCTCTTTGGAGGAGAAAATTTGTTGCTATTTTTACAACCTTTTAAACTGAAATGCCTTGGGAACAGTGTAGCATCTCACCACTTTTCTGGGGGTTTTATTTGGTGATGTTTCTGAAAGAAAGGTGAGCAAGGAGTTTTCCCTGGAGAAGGGAACTGCAGGACCCTGAGGGATGGGGATTAAAACCGGCCCCAGAAGAAGAGCTGAGACTCACAGCGGTTTTCTGTGTCCCACACCTGCTGCTCCTCCGTGAGGGTAAGTGGGAACAGCATCTTCCCTAAATGGAACTCTGGGTAAAGCTGAAATTTGGGCTCTGTGGAACTCTCTGGGAATATCAGCTCTACTACGGAACCAGGCTGGGAGAGGTGGCGGGCTCTGGAGAAGAAAAGGCTCTGGAGAGAGCTGCGAGCCCCTTCCAGTGCCTGAAGGGACTCCAGGAGAGCTGGAGAGGGACAAGGACAAAGGTCCAGAGTGACAGGACAAGGGGAAATGGCTTCCCGTGCCAGAGGGCAGAGTGAGATGGGATATTGGGAAGAACTTCCTGGCTGTGAGGGTGGGAACGCCCTGGCACAGGGCGCTCAGAGAAGCTCCAGCCCTGGAAGTGTCCAAGACCAGGTTGGACAGGGCTTGGAGCAACCTGGGATAGTGGAAAGGGGGTGGCACTGGATGATTTTTGAGGTCCCTTCCAACCCAAACCAGTCTATCATCCCATGATTTTTTTACCCTTTCTCTCTTTCTCCCCACGCTGGTGCAGGAAGGGTTTTCCTGCCTCTCACTCCTGTGTTGGGACACAGAGACTTTGCTTTTCCTGGGCTCTGATTTGCTATTTAGGGATGCTTGATCCTCCTCAAAAAAGTTTCTAATTTTGTGCAATAATACAATGTCATAATCTGCTGTGTTGCAGTTTTTTGTTCTCATTCCCCATCTGTAGTGATTACACACTTCTGCTTTCCATTGCCAAATTTCCAAGGCCTGTGGACCATTTATTCCCTTTCTCTATTGCTCAACCATACAAAGTTAATATTTCAATAATTAATTACTAATCTGAGAGGTGACAAATGTTAACAAAGATGAGTGAGAGAACACCCAGACCTGCTATGACTTTTTTTTTTTTTGTTAATTTTAAGCTGTGTTGACTCTTTGTTCAAATCAGTGAGATTTTTGAATGTAATGGTATAGGGAATGAAACTACAAACAAATTTCTTGAAGATCTTGCCTTGAAGTTTTAAATTATTGAATTTTATCCCTCTTTCCTGGTAGTTGAATTATTAAAAATCCCCTTCCTGGAATAGAAGGCAAAAGCATTCATATTGCACACATTAAATTTATACAAATCAGAGTGTGAAATGCTGTGTGTGGATATTGGTGCTGGTGTTTGCACGCTGGGAAAGGCCACGGACACAGCTCCCTTTGCTGCCCAGGCTCTGCTCCAGCTCAGCCATCAAACAGCAAGGACAGGTCACTGATCACAGAAAAATGTCCTGGGGACACTTTTATCGAATATTTTTATGTAACAAAGACATCCTTAGAAATAGCCACCTGCTTATGTTTATTCCACAAAAAGAAACAAAACGCTGTGTCCAGCAGGTAAAAGACTTCAGGGAAAGTGTGGATTTCTCCTGACAATATGTGGGACCAGGGTGTGGTGTCCTGGGGGCAGCCAATAGATGGGAACTGATCTCCACATGGAGGTGAAATCCATGAATTAAATATCCCAGATCTCACTGGTCAGGAGGCAGAATGTGCTCACACCTCTGCTGAGATGTATTCTTTTAATTTGTTCCTTATCAGTATTCCAGCTGCTCCATGTAATTTTCTTGGAATTCTCCTTAAACCCAGATTTTTGGCTGGAATGACTGATGTTATATTAAACCTCAGCCTGCCTGGGCTCTGGGTGCCCATGAGGCTCCCCAGCTCCCTGCAGCACCAAGTCACCTTTCAGTGTCCCCTGG